AATGAATGCAAATGATTTTCCATGCCTGGATGTGGTACATATAAATTCTCGCAATGACCGAATACCACTTGACCATGTCAATTAACCAAAAACAATTCGAATGAAGGCAAGGTTTTCTCCGAGACGCTAGAAAACAGCAAAAAAATCTCGAATTTATATCATTGATCGCGAATATTTCGCGATTGGACAAATTTAAGCAAGGAATTCCTCCTATCAATTTTCGCTTTTTGACGTAGGACTACGTCTGTGATTTCTATATGGGGATACACTTTGTGAAAAACGAAAATGGAACATGTAACAAAATTATGAAAGATTCTTAACGTTAATAACTCAGCTGCCCCTGGACCAATTTCAATAATTTTATCACCAATCGATCAGAAATGTTTCTACGCATCTTTTAAATTTAAGACTTTATCATTTTTCAAAATGTCACTATTGAAAATTGCACGAGTTTGCAACTGTTGCTATGATAATTAAAATTATCACCGATTACCTACGAAAATCGATGTCCCTAACACAGATTTCAAAGTTGAATTCCATCCAGTCTCACCAAACGGTTATTCAATCGCGTCAAGTTCCTATCAAGGCTAAGCTCAATCGCTGATCGGATTCAGTTGCAATCACCGTGTGTGGTGGTGTCCTTCCGTCAGCATCAGCAGCAGCAGCATCAGCAGCAGGAGTGCTTTCGGCGCGTGGCGTTTAACATTGTTCTCCAGTACACAACAAAAGGCTGCATGCAAGCAGCGAGCTGAGGCCCATATGAGCATCCACAGAAGGCGGAAGAAGCCGTACCGCTATTGATCGGAATTAGTAGCTCTTAGTGAGTCGCTGTGGGCCATGTATGCCAAGCGCGTCACCCTTATTCCAAAAAACATACAGATCACCAGCCTGATCTTTGTTTAACACCCTAATAGCTCAGCATTACTCAACCATAACGACAAAACGGTCCATTTAAGGACCACCATAAATTTGTAAAAGAGTATTTTTTGGACATTTGTCAAGATAGAGCTGGAATTAGGGCGTAACAGCTTTTGTAAACAATTTCTTCTTTCGATGATGTTTTGAAAGTTAAGGCTCGCCAACACAATTCAACATCACCATCAGGAAAGTGGACTGAATTTGATCCAGAGATGATGGATTTTAATTCTTAATACGGCAATCGATAGGAATTTTATCTACCAATCTGTTAAAATTAAGACTTTATCACTTTAATGAAAATATTTAAAATTGCACGAATGTGCAACTGTTGCTTTGATACTTAAAATTATCACCGATTGCCTGCGAAAAGCGATTTCCCTAACACAGATTTCAAAGTTGAATACCAATTGAATTATTTAATCACCGCGTGGTGAGTGGTGTTCTCCAGTACACAATGAAAGGCTGCCTGCAAGCAGCGAGCTGCAGCCCACATGAGGATCCATAGAAGGAGGACGAAGCCGCACCGCTATTGATCGGAATCAGTAGCTCATCGTGAGTCGCTGTGGGCCATCTATGTCAAGCGCGTCATACTAAAGAGTATAAACAAAGAGAACCTCGCTCAAATTCTTATTGCTACACAAAACACTAGCTCCTGCTGCAGTTAACAAATAAGATTTATTATATAAGACCACGTAGTTCTACGTCACGACGGTCTCTATTCCCCAATCTAGTGCCAATCACCGACGGACATCGATTGCCATACATTGACAGCAATCGAATGTGCAAGAAGGGAGCTTCCACACCTGCGTAGGATATCGCATCCATCCAACACACATGGGCCGGGACCAACGGCTTTACTTCCCTTCCGAAGGAAGACGTGACCAGAGATTTTTATGCCTCAGAAAAATCCCACCGACCTCGACTGGGATTGAACCCAGACCCATTGGGGTAAGAAAGCAGTCACGCTTACCACTACACCACCGGCGCTGGCATATATCGATACATATAAATTTCCCTTAATCACATGAATATTTGTTATTAAATTTGTGATTTCATGCAAAACATAAAAGGAACCTCAAACCGATAGATTCTCCAGTGAAGTAAATAATCTTGAAAGTATGTGACTAATCTACTGAAAGAAAAACAGTTTGCACATCCTCCCGTAAAGCCATTTGAGTGCAAATCGTTTGTTCTGTGTATCCCAAAAGGAAGCATTTATATATTATTTATTTATATGCTTTCGCTTGCCACCACGTGGTTTCACACAATCTTAAAACATCACGCCTTGAGAAAAAAAAAACCCTCCAGTTTGAGTGGAAAGTCTCTCGAGAAATTATTTTTATTATTATTTATAGAAAAATAACTCTTCTGTTTACTGACTGCAGAACGGCTACAACGTACAGAAAAAGTATTGTTGAGTTTGTGTTTTGTACACTGCACGATCCTAGCAGGAATCTTGATCGGTGTACCAAGGAAAAGGAATTCTCCATCTGAAGATGAAATATGCTTTTTGTTTTCTATTTGATGGCACTATATCATTTGTTTCTCCGTTAGCACCGTTCGTGCTTCCCACGTGTGGGTGGAAAATCCCCTGTATACCGTGTTGTTGTATGACAAGTGGACATTCATCCCAATGCTCGTGTGTAGATAGAAGGAAAAACTCTTGTTATTGGAAGGAACAAATTGAAGTGTTATTGCTTTTAGGTTCAGCTCTCTTCAGGTTGCGACGAGACGACAATAGGAAATGTTGACGATAAGACCAGAGATTCTGGCCTCAGAGTTTGTACAGGGAAAAGTTTCATTGGCATTATTCGTTCGTGAGGGCGCTCCATATTGCTTATTGATTTACTTGAACGATTCCTGGGTACAATCAACACGTCCTTATCGGTTGATAAATTTGAAATAAAAGCCCATTTTAACAGTGTAAGATGATTACTGACATTATCTGGAATATAGCTAACTCTATTCGTGAATGATTCTAGAAAATTTCTAAAAGTGATCACTGTTTAACGTGAATTTCGTAATCAATTTCTACTAACAAGAACATTGACCCACTAATGGTATTAGGGTATTATGTTTCAAGCTTTTTCATCTCAATCAACCGCATTGTGGGGCTTTCCTTAGCTCAGTCGATAAAGGCGCAGCTACAAAGCAAGACATGCTGAAGGTTGGGCTGGGTTCGATTCCCGGTCCGGTCTAGGAATTTTTCGGGTTGGAAAATGTCTCATCTTCCCTGGGCATAATAGAGTATGGTTGAATACTAATGCAAAAATGGTACCAGGCATCGAAAAGTCAGCAAAATTCTTAAACATACTAAAACCAATGTTCTTATTATCATTTACTATCATTAAATGATTAAAAAATCATCCCTTCCGATAAGGGATTCTCATCCACTTATTTCACGTTGTGATGGTTTTGAGATACCATTACTTTACCAAGCATATGAAAAAGATGAGAAATTTATGATTAAAAGATTCATTATGCTCATTTTATGTATGTTAATCAATCGGTATCGGTATCAATAGATTTTAAATCAATCGATAAATTACTGACCAATGATATTTCAAATATTGCCAATTTACCGTTACACATTTTACCGGAGGCATCGTGTTCGGAGTGTTAACAAAAGTATAATCTGAGAACGTATGTATATTAGACTGATGCAAAATTTTAAATTTTCGCTCCACAGTGCTCAAACGGTTCCAAATTGGGTCCTGATTAGCCTCCCAAAATTTGAACTACTTTAGTAAGAAACTGACTTGGCACAAACCATTTCAAGTTTATATGGGAATTACTATGGGAAAACTTATATTTTTGTTGATATCTATCTAACAATTCACCACATCATTATGCTTTTAAAAATGATAGCAGTGATTGTAGTACATTTTATCAGCCATATTTATGTTCAAACCCACTTTTCAGTCAAATGTAATGAACAAAAGTTATTAATGATTCAAGTTACTGATGTCTTATGATTATGCTCATTCAACTGTTCAGCAGGCAACATTGGTATTTCTGGTGCGAAGAATAGAGCACAAATATCATGGCTACTATGTCACACTGCAGAATACAGTGTTGCCCACAGAACAGCTGCTTGATCATGCCATAAGATTGTCAATCTCTTAAACAATTAATAACTATTTAATTTGACATTTGACTGAAAAACGAAATTTCGCAAAGTTGTAGCTTAGAAAATTTTCCGTAAGTATAATTGTAGAACTTTTCAAAAAAGCAATATGGAAAATGGGTAGAAGACAGTGAACAAAAAGTTTAGTTTTCCCATATTAATTGCCATATAAACTTCGAATGGTTTGTGCCAAGTCAGTTTCTTACCAAATGAGTTTAAATTTTGGGAGGCTTATCAGGACCTGATTTGAAACCGTTTGAGCACTGTGGAGCAAAAACTTCAAATTTTGCATCAGTCTAATGTATATGTATGTGTGTAAGGTAGCCACCATCCCTTCTAATATATTGTCTTGTATGCCTCCAATAAATAGCAAGATCAATTTGAGCTACCGATCTGAATTCACAATATCGCTGTATGAAGGGCCAAAAACGGAGAGGTGGACCACACTTACAGCAGAGGCACTTACGCGAAATCCCCGGAAATTTAAGAATGTCCTTCCAACGATACGATCCAACAAATCGAATAACGCAATACGCAAACAAAAGTATAACCAGAGAAAATTCCCACATTTCGAGGGTGCCCTGTAGTTATGAATAATTTTAAAAGCTGCCTCAAGGTGGAAACCATCATAAGCTCGACGATATAAGCTTTTGCTATAAAAGAGAGCATGAGCGTCAGCTGTGCCTGAGTACACGAAGCAACGCTTTCCCTCTCTTTCGCTCATCTCATTCTCTCAATCTCTCACAACCGTTCACCCCATCCACAGCTAACCCACAATCTATGAAACGTAAACAGCATCATCCATCCATCTAACTTCGGAAAATAGGACCTATGAATGGACGAGTAGGATCTTCCCGCTATATTTAGACCATCTGTCTGAAGCTATATGTACAGCACAACCTACATACATTGGTAGGTACATATTTTCCCATAGAAAATCTCAACAAAAACTCACCTGTTTTCGTAGTGTCCTCGTTCCAATTTCGCCCTGCTCCTTCCGCTCGAAGCGCTCAAATTTGAAACTGTTGGAGCGATACAGTTCGTTGTCCTCGCCACGGCGATTGCGGCAAAGTCGTCGAGTGATGATGTTGCCGCTTTTCGGACTATTACCAGAGAGAAGAAGAAGAAGAAGCAAAAATCATGGTCTTAGAATCATCAAGACAACAACGATTCGAGGAAATGGGTCATTGTGGTTAAAAAGCTTCAACCGCAATATAAAATTTTGTGTTGCATTAAGAAGACAAGTTCCACCTACCCGCACGGTTTGCACTGATTCATATGCAAGTCCCAGTTGAGATTGAAATTGAACATTTTCAGCCGGGCGACGGCTCGTTGTCTCAGGGATTGTTCGTTGCCTGCTTGGGTCATTAAGCCTAGCTGAGTGTTGCTACGGCGGGAAGACGATGAGTGGTTTTTATGGTGCCCGGAGGACGAGTGGCCACCAGCTCCACCTTGAGAGTTTCTGGAATTAAACAAAAACAACCAGATGAATAGGATTTCCATGGAACGATACTGAAACATGGGAGAATGCCGTACATTCATTAGCTAAAACTGCAATTTATACACAACACGTTGAATCGCATTCCAGTTAACATATGCTTTTCATCGTAATATATTTTTAATTAATTATTAGGTTCCTATTGAAACTTATAAACATTAGTATATGTCAAAATTCTTCGATGACCGATTCTCTATATCGGTATTTCTCTTTGAGCGTCCGTGTTCCCTTTGCTCTTTCGGTTTGTATTGTGTCTCGATTTGAATTTGTGGGATTAACATATTTCGTGTTATGTTTGTTGATGCAAGTTTAATTTTTAATTAATTTCAATCCGTAAGAAAATTACAAAACAGGGCAGAATAAAACAATTATTTATTTATTTATTTATTTATTCGTCGTCAATCAAGTGTAGACCGTTTTGTTACAGTAATAATCTCATTACATGGTTTATTTCTGAATATTATAATATGCAAAAACACTAAGTAGACACATCAGTATCTAATCTAATCTAATCTAATCTAATCTAATCTAATCTAATACAAACGCAGCCAGTACGAGAGCTTTCTCTTATTGAATGCTTATATCGGAAAATTATTAGGTTAGATAACGCCTAATCATTTTTCTTGACAACATTGATGTTTGCAGCATATCTGAGATATGACACATTGCCGGCACCGGTAAGCGTGACTGCTTTCTCACCCCAATGGGTCTGGGTTCAATTCCAGTCGAGCTCGGTGGGATTTTTCTGAGGCATAACCATCTCTGGTCACGTCTTCCTTCGGAAGGGAAGTAAAGCCGTTGGTCCCGGCTCATGTATATTGGATGGGAGCGATATCCTAGGCAGATGTGGAAGCTCCCTTCCTGCACATTCAATTGCTGTCAATGGAATAGAGACCGTCGTTAAATAAAGGAATGAATAAGAAGATAAGATATATGACACCAAATTTAATATCAAAACGGCCAGGCCTACTGCGTTGCATATGCCGCAAATATGATTCTGTGAAAATATTCGTGTTTAAATAAATATATTTAAACAGCGATGCATTTCATGAATCTATAGAGCATTTCTAGCTCAAATCGTTAAAAAAAATGTCAATTTTGTCTCGACCCCTTCTGATTTGAATGAAACATTGCTCACGTGTTCGCTGCTACTAATGGTTGCATTTTTCATTTAAATATGATTTTTTCCTCCAGAGTAACTTTTGAAAAGGGCGTATAAAAAAAATGGATTATTTTTTTTTCAAAAAATCATAACTTGAAAATTATTGATCTGATCAAAATGGCATATGAGAAAAAGTTTTAGGTAGTTAAATTATCTTTGCGGAAAAAAATACACTGAAAGAAAAACTTAGTAAACTAGTATTTAAAAAACGTAAAACGATGATTATCTCAAAACACCCCCCCTTCGATCTTCATAAATTTTTTTTTCAAGAAAATTGATGAAATACCCTTGAATTTCGTGAAAAGTGTATGCTGGTAACTTCCTTAAAAAGAAATCTATAATTTTTTAATTTTTTGTTAATTTTTACAAGTTGATTAAAATGTATATTTTTTTGAAAAATAATAATTTATTTGGATTCTACGCATAATTTTCGATAACTTTGCATATAAAAACTTTTTTGCTAAGTCCAGCCGTTCTCAAGTTAATGCGAATTAAAAAAATATAATTATAACAAATTTCAACATTTTAGGCCATTTTCAAATGTTCGTCGAGATGTCTAGCAACGAGATTTTATTTCATGATTGTATATTAAAAAACAAACCATTCATTCTCAGATATGGTAGCTGTCAGACTTACCCGTTTCTATCTAGAGGCAGCGGAAGAGAAGCACGTTGATGTGGTCAAATGAAAGATTTGTTGAGATAAAAAACAGTATATATTTATTATTTTATTTTACAACTCATATTATTTGAATACATTGAATAATTTGGGTGTATCGTTTGAATTAGAGAATATTTTTACTGCAATTTGGTTGTTTGAAACTGGAATATAGCAATGATATTTTCGAGTTCCAGGAATTGGTTTCACTTTCTTAAAAATTGGATCAAATTCCGTGTCAGCCTTTTTGTATTCTTCCGTAGAAACATAACAAAATGACATTTTTGTTTGAAGATCTTCTTTACGACTATTTGCCCAGTCGTACAGTTGTTAAGGGTTCGTTATAGGGTGCTCGTGTTGCTTAGCTAAACTTGCTCTGGTTGCCATTCTCTTAAGGGTACCGCCAATCGCATCACAAGGACCTTTGCCGTGTGAAGTTGCAAAAAAAATGCCATTCAATTTCTACATCTACATCTACATCTGACATAAAAATACACTTTTGGACTGTTATTTGCAACTTTAAAAATTCTAATAATTTTGAGATAAACAACTGAACTGCTACTGTGTCATGCTTTGAAATTGATTTAGGTAGAGGTTTACAACACTTGAAATTGTTATCCATCGTAAAAAAACTACTTGCTTTTTAACTTGAAACGCTAAGAGAGATGAACTGAATGGAACAGGTGAAGATCGTCCCAATATATATATATATATATATGTAGCAGAATAATTACAATGTTGACATTATACCTATCTTCATTAGGTACAATTGATTATAGCAAACTTTTTTAGGTGTGAGTGTAAGAAGCCTCCACGGGGTGCTTTTTTTATGTAGTTGTGATATCGCGGGATGAGCTCTTAAGGCACAATATGGTATACGTCAGAGAAGTACCTAGATAATTTACCTCAATTACAGGTTTAGTAACATATTTGTTTACCTGTTTATGTTTTGAGCCTCTGTTATGACATACACAATTCTATCCAGGTAAACAACTAATAGAGGACAGAAAAAAGGCACATGAGTGGGCTTGTTGATTATTTGGGTATATTTGAGAGTATTTACTTATAAACTTGTTTCTTTTCCGCTGCGTCTAAATAGAAACGGGTAAGTCTGACAGCTACCATATATGAGAATGAATTGTCTGTTTTTTAATATATATTCATGGAAAAACATCTCGTTGCTGGACATCACGACTAACATTTGAAAATGGCCCAAAATGTAGAAAATTATCATAATTATTTTTTTTAAATTGCATTAACTTGAGAACGGCTGGACTTAAGAAAAAAGTTTCTATTTACAAAGTTTTTGAAAATTATGCGTAGAATCCAAATAAATTATTATTTTACTAAAAAATATGCATTTCACCAACTTGTAAAAACCAACAAAAATTTCAAAAATTATAATTTTTTTTTTAAGAAAGTTACCAGCATATACTTTTTACCAAATATTAGGGCATTTTTTCAGTTTTCTTGAAAAAAAAAATTATGAAGATCGAAGGGGGGGTGTTTTGAGATAATCATCGTTTTACGTTTTTTAAATACTAATTTACTAAGTTTTTCTTTCAGTGTATTTTTTTCCGCAAAGATAATTTAACTACCTAAAACTTTTTCTCATATGCCATTTTGATCAGATCAATAATTTTCAAGTTATGATTTTTTGAAAAAAAAATAATCCATTTTTTTATACGCCCTTTTCAAAAGTTACTCTGGAGAAAAAAATCTAATTTAAATGAAAAATGCAACCATTAGTAGCAGCGAACACGTGAGAAATGTTTCATTCAAATCGGAAATACTCATGACCAACCGGTTTGCGTTTTGGGCTGGAAATGCTCTATAGGAATGGAAGGATGCGTGGACATACCGTACCAAACGCTCCGAGTTATGTAAGAGTAAATTTAACAATCATATGTGTTATAGTGAATGTATAATTGAAGGATCTCAACAAATGCCTCAAATGTTCCCAAAATTCCTAATGTGTTTATCTATATGGAATGATCTCACTAAAACTGGTCTGCTTGACTGTGATCAGCAACTAAGTAGACACAGCAGTATCTGCTTTAACACTGTATTAATGTTGCGTGTCTTAATTACGAATAGAATTAAAGTATTGCTTCAGCTTGGTTTTTGTCATTGTAAATTCAATAGTTTCACAATGCCTATTGTAAGTGGTCAGCATCTGATTTAAGGATCCTAATTTAGCATAATTTGTTCGATGGTGGTTTGTTATAAATATATTTCGAATATCAATATCGATGTGAAGCGATTATGTTTACAAATGAGATCATTTCAAATTCATGGCGCTCTTTTAATTAAGAGCTTTTGAGTGTGTTGATTTAATTCCTTTTAATTCCGTTATAATTGCCTATCTTTTGACAGATACACGTATTTCGTCTACTACTTGCAGACTTCATCAGTTCCAAGTACTCAACTGTACTGGTTTGTTTGGTCTAAAATCTAAAATCAAAACATTTTTTGAATCGGGTGTTTTACAGTGGGAAAAGTAAGTGGAGTTAATACCGAGTGCGCTCTAGCAATGCTTGGTAACAAATCAAAATTTCAGAAAGAGATTATATAGCTTGCTCCGTACGCCACAGGTGTTCAATATGCCCTTGTCAGCAAGAGCAAGACTCTGCCGGAACTAATGTTAAAAGTACTTGATTATGTCATCAAAATTGTTAACTATGTCAAATCTGGAGCTCTGAACACTCAATTTTTGGAGCTTCAATGAACTCTACAAACAAATTAATTCAGATTACGTGGATCTTCTTTTCTACACTGTTGTGCGCTGGTTGTCCAAGGCAATGTTCTCTACCGTGCTTTTGAATTGAATGCATGCTTGGCATGCACAGTTATACACACCAACTGCTCATTTGTTAATAACTTTTCACTCAGTTATTGAAAATTGATTTTCTTTGAAGTAATTGATTGGTTAGGATCATAGCTTACTATAGATATGCGTAGGTAAATCTTAACATTTGAGTCAACACCAATGAATGTTTATATGTTCATTTTAACAACGCAAAAATAAATACAGTTTATTACTTGAATTTAAATCTACCTTTTTTTACGTACCTATGACAAGCTTAAACTTTATTCTATCTACTGCTTCAAACAGAACTACGTTTTGTCAACTGTGTGCAAAGTT